GCACACAAACATCAAAATTAGCACAGAAACAGTACTATATAACATTTTAGACACATTCTAGACAGTTCATCAGCTAAAAAAAGTTAATTTTGGGGTAAGTTACTCTTTAAGGTTTAGTTATTACAGCTGGAGTTGCTCAGACATCAATTTTGGTCAGAATCAAACTCTGTTTATCTAAACCGGGGTTATTCAGAGAGCTATCTACAACAGGTAGGATATTAATTATTTGTAATGTCTCCACAGCACTCAACTGGAAACTTTGTCTTTACTGATGTTTTAATTTTTGTGYTGCAGGAAGCTGGTGCCTAGTCTAACAGTCACTGTATGAGAGGCGGGGTACAGAGTAAGAACATGKAAACCCTTGACAAGAAGACCGTGTGACACCAACCACTGCACCACCGTGCCACCCCCACTAAAAAAAAATTTCAGATTAGTTCTTAACAAGAATAATAGGCTTGCTGGGCACATCTCAAGTATCCCGTCAAATCTACTTTTATCGGATTTTCTTTTTAAACAGTTTTTCGTCTTTGTGTTGGAACACCGGGCGCCTCGCATTTGCATAAAGGAACACCTTGCAGATTTCCCTAAAACGGACAGCGAGACATTAGCATCTCATTTCTTCGGGGCATGAGTCATCTTCAGTACAGTCAGCTCTCCTGACAATTAAAGCAGAGCTGAAAGTGATCCTTGTAAAATACAGAACTACAGTGAGGGCCCTGAGATATTTTAGTATTCCAGCTGCCAGGAAGAGTTTCACTCTTAAAGATATCATTTTTATTTTTTTATTTTTGCAAGCAGTAGGACTGTATGCATTAACAAAATGTGGCCTTGGGGATGATAAAAGAAATGAGGCCTAATTATCACACTTGAAATGTGTGTGCAGAGTCCACAGTCAAACTGTTTCACACATTATAGGGCTTCTCATTTTTGTTTTAAACATTTAGTAATATATTTCATTACGTGATACCTCAGCCAACTACTTCACTTCATAGTAAAGGGCAACTTCTGTGATATGAGAACAATATTTTCATGTATATAAGATGAGTTTTTAAAGCAATTATATCATTATCATTATTACTGCATGCTTTTCTTTTGGCGTTTTGACTGCCTTATTGTGTGAATCAGCAAAGTTAGAAAGCCCAAAGTCAAATTCAAAGGCAGGTTTTGCTTCTCACATTGAGGACATTGCTCTTGGGTTGTCTAAAAAATGTCTTTTGTAGTCCAGTTTCTTTTTTACTTCTTTGCTCTAAGGAATTATTTTTGAAGCGGGATGTGTGAAGAATAGGTTTTTTTTATCTGTAGTAGTCAGCAGTTACAATTTAGGTTTGGAGAATCAGGAAAGGATTTTTTTAAAGAAGTCAAAACAAAGTTTAGCCTGACTAAAGCCTGGTTAAAGCAATGAAAATTTCCAAAACTTTATAGCTGTCCAAGTGAAAGCTACAGTATGGATTTTTACACCACATTTTTTTTTCTTTTTACAAACTGTGCATGTATACAGTATTAACACAATGTTACACAAAATGTGGCRCAACGGCCTGTAAATCATCTTCACACACAGGACATTTTCAGTGCAAACAGCCAACAGATGCGAATGTTTTGCAGCACAAAATGTCATTTTAAAGCCGTCACTTTAACTGCTATGAAAAACTTTAATGCGTGAGGTGATTTAGATAGCAGAGATTCACTCTTAAAAGGTCTGAGTAGTATTTACCTTTATTCCTCTATAACTGTTTTTTTCTTCAAACTGAGATGGTTCTGACAGCTATGAATTACAGGTAAGATACTCACCACTCACAGGCTCTCCATACAGCTTTACCTAAAAAATAACTTTACTGACATTAGCATGACTCATATTGTTTGGTAACTTTAAAATTAAAACTCCTACTCTAAACCATTAGTGTGTCTTTAATAAGTGAGTTAACCCATCAGCTCAGGCAAGAGTGTAAAAAAGAAATCATTTCAAACTAATTAATATAAGACTTAGACAAAGAGTAATAATGTAGATTTTGAATTAAAATCTTCTTTTAAAAGAGAGCAAGTCTCAACAAGAGAAGAGCTATTTATACATGAATGAATGTCAAAATGTCAATTATTAACTGATAAAAAACAATACTAACTCTTAATGGTCATATATTTTACTGCTTCTTGGTCTTTCATCTGAMGTCTTGAGGGATAGTGAGACACTGTTCCATCATTTGTCTTGAAATCCTTTGACGTGAAGCCAAAATAGTTGGTAAAGTACAGGAATTTCTTTTACATATTTGGTTAGAACTTTATGCTAACACAATTGGTACGTCATTAAATGATTGACTGGGGGTAATGTAAATTAAATCCATCAGGGTTTTGAAAGAAATAGTGTTAGAAAACAGTGAATACATCTCACCTGGGTTCAAAATAAAATTTGGTGATCGTTATGATCCTGAATTTCTCTTGGTAAAGTTCAAAATACCCCGACACAGCTCAAATGAATTTGTTCTTCCATAACTTGCTTTAAGGTTCCTGACCAACTGGTTTCCTCCATACTTCTGTCAACTCACGTCCTTAAAGTTTTTAGTTGTCTTTTCTTGTCAGAAGAAAAGGGAAAAATCTTTTTGCTTTGGACCTGCTGTCTGATTCCATTGTTCTTCCCCTGACTTTCTTTGTGATGGGGGATTATCTTACTGACTCAAAATTGGTTGCTCTCCAACACCGTCTGACGTCCACCATTCTAAATTCGAATGTAAACACATGATTCTGCTGATTCATGTGGTAGAACCTTAGATACCTGCCRAGAATGGAAACCTATTTTAAATGAAAAGTAGAAGCAAAAATGAAAGTAACTCATCAGAAAAACACCAGTTTGTCAAGAATATGAAGTGCAGCTTCTGTTTTTACCATGCAACATTTCAAAAGTTCAAAACATTACCAAATACAGTTACAGATACAGCTATATWTTTTAATTTGCACCTTGTAGTATTTTTAAACATTTTGAATGCATTTTAAAGACATTTTAAACTAGTCAAAAAGCTGTTGTTACTGTTATTGTTTGTCACTAATACTGTATGAAGAGCACCTTCTGGTTGCCAAAAATTAAAAAGGCTATGTATATTTTCATTTGTACTTTATGAAATTTATTTTTACAGGTTTTTTTTTATTTGAAACATTTTCATTACACATTTTTAATTTATTTATTTTATGCCAACAATTTTATTTTTTGAATTGTCTATTTT